AGGGATATGTTCATCCAAAATTACATGTGATTACAACACAGCTGATATGTCAAACAGTGCACCTTTCATAGCCGTATATGAGACATTAAAAAATGTATTACAATTTGCGGGTATGAAAACAGGAAGTACAATCAGTAATGGTAAAAAAAAGTGCTTTTGGAATTTGTAAAAGAAGGACACATGGGAGATGGGGCTGTCCCCAGCTGATATGCCCCCATTTTATGTTGCCTCTTTTTCACTCTCCCCCAGTGATTGTGACCCCATTTTACAATGCTCCCAGGTACTGTTTCCCGAAGATCTGCTTAATGCCAAAGAAAAAAATTCAAGAGTCAAAAAAAAAAAAAAAAAGTCTGCTACCTAATACAATTTGCTTTGTATATAACATTATATTGGCTAATTTTTATTCCATCACATTTAATTGATTTAACCGGAAACATTTAGAAACTAGAGACATGTCAAATAGCTTGCGCAAAAGCAGTCCAACAGAAGGGCGGACAACCCAACAAATGGCGGCCCGTCATATATAGAACAGACCCCAATAGGCAACTATAACAGAAGGGGTCACAAGTCAGAGAGCCACCCAAAGAACTTTGTGGCTGAAGCAAGCATCAGAAGACGCCTGAACATACACCTGGTAAAACTTGGCAACATTGTGAACCGAGGATCAGGTGGCAGCCTACAGGTTGGCCAAGCTATTAAAGCCAGTGACTGAGAAGCAGGGTGAAATACCAGTCCTTGACACACAAGGTCTATATTATATGGAAGTACAGATGGGGAGTTTGCTAGGAGTTTAACTATGTCCACTTAGCATGGTTATGAGCAATGACAATCACTGGAGTATCTTCCATCTTGATCCTGCAAAGGAGGGCAAGCAAGAGTTTTACAAGAGGAAAACCATAGATCACGCTGAACTGATCCCACGGAGTCACTAAGGCATCTACTGTGAAGGCTAGGGGATCCCTGGTTCTGGCAACAAACATGTGTTGTTTAACTTGCATGCCAGGAGGCCCCACATGTGGTGTCCCCAACCTGTGTCAAAGGACCTCAAACACCTCTGGGTGACGGGACCACCCTTTGGGTTGCAGATATAACTTGTGGAAGTCTGGACTGTACATGGTAGACAGTGACAGA